CTAAATTATATATGTGTTTAGAATCTTACATTTATAAATGAAACAAATTGGTTTGAGATGATCACTCTCATATTAGACTCTACAATACTTAATTTAGATTAATCGATTGATAAATTGAACACCAATAATTATATAAAAGAAAATTTAATAGTCAATTTCGAATAAATTTTAAATACTAGAAATTAAGATGTCAAAATCATACTTTCTTAGTTTGTAAGATAGCTTTTTTCTATATATATATATAAAACATTTAGTGTTACCCTTATTCAATATTTTCTTTACACGTGTATTATTTTCTTTTCTGAAACTTACCCCTCTTTGCCATTAACGTTACAGCACGTCTACTATAAAAAGTGAACTACCCACTTAGAGACTGTTTATTTGGCTCAGAATAGAATTATTCAGCGTTGAATGATGAATCGTTCAACATTTAGTGCGTTTATTTCTCACCTCTGAATGATTCAGTGCTGATTGATTCAACAAAATAGTGTTAAATGATTCAGCACAGAAGTACATTCTGAATGATTCAGAGCCATTATCAAACAGCGTGTCATATTTAGAGCTAATTCATACAGAGCCTTTGAATCATTCAGCATTTGAATCATTCAGTTCTTAATCATTATGAAGTAAACAAACAGCCCCTTAATCTCATATTACTTTGTTTCAGTTTTTATTTATTAAAAATTATTATAATATAAAGTTTAATTTTTTTTATTATTTATTATTAAAAAAACGATGATGCCGACGTGTTATTTTTAATTATTTTAAATGTGACATGATATTACTTTAAACATATCAATTATTGTTAATTTTTAATGTTAGATAACTATAATATATGTATGATTTTGGGGAAAAAATAATTAAGTGACTAAATAGGAATTAAGTAATATGTGGGATAAATAATTAGTTAATTTAACATTTTTATATGTACTTAATTGAGTACTGTGTTACATATAAATTAAAGTTTTAAGATTTAAAAAGTTATAAAATAGTAAATTTTAAAAGTATTTTTATAGTTTTAAAAATAATTATTATTTTCATATATTTTATAAAATCTTTAATTTTTGAAATTTATTATTTAAAAATTATTATAAAAGTGTCGAAATAAACTTTTAGTTTATTGAGAGACCAAATAAGATATTATTCATCAATTTTATGTGTTAGGTATCTCAGTTGGACAATAGTAATTAGAAGAAACACATAATTTTATGTTAAGGGACGAACTTCTATAATTTTATAAGTTAAATTTTATAAGGGAATAAACTTATAAAATTATAGGGAAGCGAAAATATATTATAAATTTAAAATAAAAATATAAGCTAATTTGAAATTTTCAGAAGAGCGATTGTCTGCATCCACCCCTTTCGATTCATATGTGATAGTAACGATATAGTATCATTTTAAATAAAATTAAAATTTAATGGCTATTTTATAATTTTTAAAAATAAAATGTCTAACATATTTTTTAGATAATTTAATGACCATTTCAAAATTTACCCTGTTGTTTAGTTTGATATAGTTAAGTGGCGACGATTTGACATAACTGACAACTTTTGATTCTAATATTCTCTATCTAACACCGATTGATTAATATTTTCTGAAGTAACACCTTTTCGGCTGAGGTGGAACAAAAGGTCTCGGAGATGCGCTTTACTAGGGTTTGCTTACGTGGACGTAAGGCGCATTACAAGGATGCGCTTCTAGCCACGTGTAAAAATCGGGTGTTAATATTATATATTTTTAAATTGGTGTCAAATATATAATTAAATTCTATTAAGATGATATTTATGTAAAAATGTCAACTTTATTTATTTGTTTTTTGTTGCGAAAAAATTTCTTAGTTAAAATCTTTAAATATTTTATTGCAAATTTTTATAATTCGACAAATTTTTATTTTACATAAAATAACATACGTGTAATTTAGTATAGGAAAACTTTTAGGGTAAGTAATTTAAAATATGAATAATTTTATAAAAGTTTTATAATTAATATTTTTTTACAAAATGATGATGATGATGATGATGAGAAAATTTTATAATTTAAAAAATTATAAATTTCATATATTTTGAAAAATTTATTAATTTTTAAAATTAATTGTTTAAAAATATAAAAAATATTAAAATAATTTTTTAATTATAATTGATGGATCAAATTAATTATTATTCATTAATTATAATATTTATTTATATTTTTTAAAAATAATATTAGAAAGACATTTTAAATAAAATGTTTTATTTTTTAGCTTTACATTCTTTTTCATTAGAATTTAATATTTATTTATATTTTTAAAATTAATATTAGAAAGAATATTTTTAAATACGGAGGTGATATTTTAATAATTAATGAATAATAATTCATTTGATCCCTCAATTGTAATTAAAAAATTATTTTAATATTTTATATTTTAAACAATCAATTTTAAAAGTCAATAAATTTTCAAAATTATATGAAATTTATAATTTTTAAATTATAAAATTTATATTATCATAATCATCATCATCCTTTTATAAAAAAAATACTAGTTATAAATTTTTTATAAAATTATTCATATTTTAAATTATTTACCTTCAAGTTTTCATATAATTTACACGTATTGTGTAATTTCATTCAAAATCAAAATTGTTAAGTTAAAAATAATTTGCAACAGAATATTAAAAATTTTAACGTAGAAAATTTTTTTCACAACAAAAAAAAAATAAATAAAGTTGACATTTTACATTAATATCACCCTATAATTTAATTAATATTAGACATCATTTTAAAAATAATTACAATATTATCACCCGATTTTACACATGACCGAAAAACATCCCTAAAAATGCGTCTTACGTAAAGAATATCTCCGGAGACAGTCTTATCAATCGAAGGGTGTTAATTAAGAGATATTGATTAAACGGTATTAAAAAAGATATTAGAGTCAAAGGGTGTCAGTTATATTAAATCGCCTTAATTGGCCAAACTGTTGAACACAACTAAACAAAAAGTTAAGAAGGAAGTACGATTCAGAAAGTTGATTAGGATCGAAGAAATGAAGTTCGGGTGATTCTGCTGTGCGGCGCCTAAAAAAAACGGCTAAAACGGCGTGACCAGGTTAAACAAGTGACCGGTTAAAATTTGACTGGTTATGTTATATCATTAACCGGAAATATTATCAAGTACAATAATATTAGGTAGCGTTATATTGATCTATTTTCTAACTAAAAAGATATATTTAAACCAGTAACATTGCAAATTTACTATTACATTATAATTATCAGTTTTGATATTTTTGGGATTGATACAATTTTAAATGTATCGACACTTATGCTTGCACCTCGTTGTGCTTTCATTTGGGAAAAAAAGTATCGACACATATTTAAAGAGTGTTAATACATATTGTAAACCTATTTGCTAATTAACCAGTATATTTTTACCGGTTACATTGTAAATTTACCTATTACATAATAATTATCGATTTCGATGTTTTTGAATCGATACTTTTCATAAATGCATCAATACTTATGTGCACCAGTTTGAGTTCTTCAATCATAAGTTTTATTTAAGAAAGTAAAACTGGCTTAACTTTATCCTATGGAGATAATAAGAGTATATCTAAGTTTGCGTTGAGAGATGTTTGTTTCTGGGTTTTTGTTCTTTGAAAACTGATAACATGGTGAGTTCCAATGTTATTCTTTTGTTACAGCAAAGTTTTTGTTATTTCTTATGGGTTTTGCTTAATATCTAACTTTTTGTATTAAAAAATAAAAATTCTGAAATAAAAATGATCACACAAGCAACTTTTTTACTACCGGTTTGTCATTTCGAGATCGATTTTGTCATATTTTTACATGTTATTGTTATGGATCGATACATTTTTATAAAGTATCGACTTTATTGGCGCTATACTTCTTTCTTTAAATTCTAAAAGTATCGATACTTATAATAAAGTATCGCACTATCACCTTCGCTCTTTACCGGTTTGTCATTTCGAGACCGTTTTCATTTTTTTACCTGTTATATTGTTATGGATCGATATTTTATAAGTATTAACACTTTATTAGCGCTATAACTTCTTCTCTTTTAAATTCCAAAAGTGTCGACTTATAATAAAGTATCGACACTATCAACATATTTAGTCTCTTTACCTGTTTTGTCATTTATAAACCGGTTTATCATTTTTTTACATGTTTGTATGGATCGATACATTTTTATAAAATATCGACACTATCAATATCGGTAGCGCTTTACTTGTTTGTCATTTATAGACCGGTTTTGTATTTTTTACCTGTTATATGTTATAGATCGATACATTTTTATAAAGTATCGACACTTCAATATATATCCGGTAGCGCTTTACTGTTTTGTCATTTATAGACCGGTTTTGTCATTTTTACCTGTTATATTGTTATAGATCGATACATTTTATAAAGTATCGACACTTTCAATATATCCGGTAGCGCTTTACCTGTTTTGTCATTTATAGACAGGTTTTGTCATTTTTTACCTGTTATATTATTATGGATCGATACATTTTTATAAAGTATCGACATTTTCAATATATCTGGTAGCACTTTACCTGTTTATCATTTATACCGGTTTTGTCATTTTTTTTACTTATTATATTGTTATGAATAGATACATTTTTATAAAGTATCGACACTTTTATATATTCGGTAGCGCTTTACCTGTTTTGTTATTTATGATTTTACCATTTTTTTACTTGTTATTTGTTAAGGATTAATATATTTTTATAAATTATCGACACAAACTGACAAGTTAAGTTTGTCGGTTGTCAAATTTTTTAATATTTCTTCATAATTTTCACCTACTACTTATTATTACTCGATATTTCCGATAACGCTAAATCAAATTTATCAAATATCTTTTAATATATCGATAACATCGTATATTAGCCGTATATTAATTCGCCTTTCCCGAGTTTCCCTTTTGGTCACATTCACTCATCACCATAGGAATGATGATGAAGACAACCGAGAAAGACCACCACCATCTCCATCACCATGTGTTTCCTCGCCGTCTCAGCACTACCGCCACCACCAAACTACCATCAACCACCCGCCTTTGACGGACCATATCCACCGCCACCGCCATCATTATACTTCCAGCAGCCTGCCTTTGATGGACCAACACCAGCATACTTTCAGCAACCGGGCTTTACGTCACCCACGCCACACCAACCACCAACCCAAGAGACTCATGTCCACCACCAGCCTGAACATAGTTCATTGAACTACTCTACACCAACACCACCCACAACAAACCTACTGTTAAAATCTATTGCAAAGCTGGTCCTAGTTATCATCTTACGATCAGAGATGGTAAAGTTGTTCTTGCTCCATCTGATCCCTCTGATGAATTCCAGGTACTGTATCAGCAGATTCACAATTTTCTTTAACTTAATTTTTATGGATTAATCTACAAAATTATCAACTTGGTTTATTATGAGTTTTCCCTATATTGTGTAGTTCAAAGCCGTATAACTTGATTAAACTCATTAATTGACAACCCAAAAGCCCCCTTTGACTGTTGAAACTCAAGATTAGGGCAAATCATTGATCTTATTTTGATCTGGATGTTGATTTTTGTTGTTGTTTTAGCACTGGTACAAAGATGAGAAGTTCAGCACAAGGGTGAAAGATGAAGTGGGTTTCCCCAGTTTTTCTCTGGCTAATAAGGCCACTGGTCAAGTCATTAAACACTCCATTGGAGCTTCTCATCCTGTAAGAATTCTGTATGGCTTTCACTGTATTTTTTAGTTCCTTCTTATGTGGAAACACGGGTTTCTCCTTTGTATTTCGTTGCGCTTAAGAACTTTTGCATTTCCTCTTTTTCCTTTTAAGATATGATTTCTGTTTTGAGTTGTTTAACACTTGACACGCTTTCAAATTACATCATGAGATTGGTTATGGCCTATGGGATACTGCAGAAGTTAAACATAGGAATTATCCGAGTCACAATTTTTTTGTGGTGTTATCCGTTCTGCCAATTCAGTGGTCTATTGTTATTGTAGCATGATTCGATATTGGGGTAGTTTATTGGCTGCCCGAAATATTCAAGTGGCTTATCACGGTCATGAACAATTCTCGACAATTTTATAGGTTTTCAGCTTTTCCATTGCTAAAATACCCTCTTTATCTGGTAAAACCAAATGCGTGCATTTCCGATTCTTGTGGGCTGAAGTGCTGATAACTTCACCGACCCTTTTTTCTTGACTCCGGCAGTGGAAAGAATTGTTGTTTGTGCATCTTGATGTTTTATTCATTTCAGATGGTCAAAACATAAGAGAACATTTGAATTTATCAACCTTGAAGTTTTGCTTAAAATGGGTTTTCCTGCAGGTCCAACTGGTACCTTACAAACCAGATCTTGACGAGTCCGTACTATGGAGCGAGAGCAAGGAAGTCCATGATGGCTACAGAGCTATAAGAATGATTAATAACATTCGCCTGAATTTAGATGCTTTCCATGGTGATAAGAAATTCGGTGGCATCCACAATGGTATACCGTGTGTTGTGGCAATGGAACAAGGGAGATAACCAGATATGGAGGATTGCCCATACTGTAAGTTAATCATAGCAAAGTTTCTAACCATCCTTTTCCTTCATATGATAAACCTCAAATATGAGTCGAATGTTGGTAATCTCTGTTACCATGTTCTTTTATGGTTCTAATATGGTGTGATAAATGCAGGATGCTTCTAATATGGTGCTACTCGTTATACATTGAACCTGTATCATTCCTGCAGTCGATGTCATAGCTTCGAAGGGTCCCATGAATTATCTTCTTGGGGTTTTTCTTGTATGTTTTCATTCCATGTGTGTGAGGCCTACTAAAACTTTTTACCAGTTTGCAAGAAAGAGAATAAAGAACATCTATTGCAGAGATGCTAGACTGCAAAATTTGCCTATGCAAATTTAAAAGTGTAGTTTACCTATTGATACAAATTTCTAAGCTCACTAGTCATTTAAACTGCTACCATTGCTTTTCTTTCCCTGGAGAAGACTATTGATACCCGAATTCTTTTCTAAGATTGAAATTGCCTACCATATAAAAAAGGATCAGAGCAAATTAGAATTGGGTGGGGTACACCAGGCCCGAGCAATTGCGAAGCTTGGGCGACACACGAGAGCCCCAGTGGCAAGCTTACTGTGATAGGATCTACCCCTAAAAAAAAAATTAATACCATATGGTCCAATGGCCCACATACCAGATTAGACTGATAAAAACAGATAATACACTTAATCTTAGCCGAAAGGCCGAGAAAGGTTGAGTCTATTTTACCAAACCGGCTTGTTTTAAATGCTCCTTCTTAGCCTCGTTCCTTTATACTAAGGATGTGGGATTGGGCAATGTATTCAGCACCCTCGTTTGATTCCAAGTTCCGACGAATCTGAACGACACTATTGTCGGCTTTGATTCCAAGTTCCGACGAATATCACCGCCCTCTTTCAGCCAAACACCGAAACGTTATTATTATCGACATCCTTTCACCTTTGTTAGCCAGCCACGTGAACAGAAGTCGATCCCTCCTCCATCGTACTTCTGCAAACCCAAGACGCAACCTCTACCGTGAGTCTTAAGGAATCCACCGCCTGGTTGTCATGTACCATCCTTCAGTCCGACACGACTCCTAAATTGTCTCATATTCATAAGTCAAACCCCTCGTCTCATATTCATAAGTCAAACCCCTCGTCTGCTCCTATGCCGGTTTCTCCTTTACAGTCAACGAAGGCAACACCCCGTCTTGAAAACAGAGCTGTCGCCACCTCTCATAAGCAATGCAGTCTGCTTCCATCACCACTTGTCGTTCCTCGTGATTACCGTCACTGAACCCTACTGTTTCTAAGCCGCCTGCAATCCCAAAGGCTCATGGTCGTACCGTCTTCTGCTATTCACTTGCGAGTGTTGCCGACTCGTAAACCAAAGCCGCCTTGTCTTTCGAGATATTGTGGCTGATACCTGATATCGTCGCTGTAGTTGCATAAGTCGAATCTCTTAGATCTGGACCATAAACTGATAACCCTAATACTGATTCGATCCTTAATATTAAGCATAGGTAAAATGATCGAATCTGATTATGTTTTGTGGTATTATTTAAAAACAATAAAAAAAATAAAGCACATTTACTGATATACCTTAACGATTATAAATCATTGCAAAATAAAATAATTATTTTTGTTTGTTTTAAGATGAGAGAATTACTTGTCATAAAGTGTCACGTCGTATTGTCATAAGAGGCACACGGTCTGATACATAATATATGTTATAAAGTTTATTAGTAAGATAGAACAATTTGATATTAGATTATTTTACTCATATGGTTCAAAATTTTATTAGATGATTATATAAAGGTAAGATATATATCAGATTCGGTTTAAGATTAATCTCAAATATGATATTAATTTACATAAAAGAAGAAAAAGATCATTTCATAGTATTCAATGAAACCAATATTAATATTTTCTTTTCAAATCATACAACAATAATGGCTCAAAATGTACTTTATTAAGACTATTATTAAAACCAATCACATAATAGGTGATAGAGATACAAGGATTTATTATTTATTTATTTATCATTAACAATAAATATTATCAATAATCTTTAGAACTGGTAATTGAAAACTCTCAGTTCATACCTCCATTCTCTCTTAAGTTTTAAATTCAATACTTATTAAGAGTAAAAATTTCCTTCTAAAAATAGTTAAAGACTAACTTCATCCTAATATTTATGTAAATACATAAATAATTATTAATTATATTAAAATAATCTTTTCTTTAATCATTGAACTTAAAATATAAGAAATAATTGATTTTTTTGTTATAAAAGAACACTACAATGAATGATGTGGTACATTCTTATCCAGCTTGAATGCCTTAGGATTATAGGATAGTTTCGATCTTAACACTGCGTTCGCAACGGCAACCACACCCAACTCTGACTTGCTAAATGCCACAAATGCATCTTCTCTAGCACCAGGTGAACATTTATTACAGCTAAGATCTGTGAGCTAGTAGGGTGAGTGACTCTATTCAAGCGCAATATCATATTCCAAGAGTGTGTAGTGGTCATACAACATATAACAAAATAATTTAACTAGAATTAGGCTTGATGCACCAGGCCCGAGCAAGCGACGCTAGAAAACCCCAATATAGCAAGCGCAATATCATCTTCTCGGATTAAGCTTGAATTCCTTCATATGATAATAAACAGTGGGTTCAAATAAATGTAAGGAATCATAATCAGTAGCAAGTTTTTCAGACCATACCTCTAATGGTACCTCCAGTGGTGTTTTTCCTCCTATCGTTGATGATGGCAGACGATTGATGAGATGACCAGCATATGTCACAGCCTCAACCCAAAATGCCTTGCCTAACCCAACATTAGATAGCATATTTCGAACTTTCTCCAATAGTGTTCGATTCATACGCTCTGCCACCCCATTTTGTTGTGGTGTATTTCTAACAGTGAAGTGTCGAACAATACCATACTCATGGAAAACGTCAAAGAATGGGTCACTTTTATATTTCCCTCCATTGTCCTAAGACGTTTGATATTTTTGCATGTCTGGTTCTCAATCATATTTTTCCATTTAAGGAAAATTCGAAGCACTTCATCTTTAGATTTCATCGGATACACTCAAACTCTTCTGGAAAAGTCATTGGCAAGTTGTGAAATGGATTCTACGGTATCTCAACAAATCGTGGATGTTGGTTTAGTTTTTTGAACAGATGAAGCACTTGGTCAGTGTGTGTGGTTGGATATGTTGATTCCTATGCTGCTGGTGATTTGGATAAGCGTCGATCAACTACTGGGTATTTGTTTACTCTTACTAAAGCCTCAGTCAGTTGGAAGTCTACTTTGCAATATACGGTGGCTTTGTCTACTACAGAGGCAGAATACATTGCAGTTTCAGAGGCTGTGAAGGAAGCAATTTGGCTTAACGGGTTGATGGAAGACTTGGGAGTTGTGCAAAGTCACAATAAAGATCAATGCTATTTACTTAGAGAAAAATCAAGTCTACCATTCAAGGACAAAGTATATCGACGTGAGGTATCACTTTATGTGGAAGATCTTTGAATAATGAAAGATTTTACTTCAGAAAATTGCAATAACAGAAAATCCTGCAGATATGATGACCAAGGTGATAACAGTAATCAAGTTCAATCATTGTTTGAACTTGATTAACATCATGAAAGTATGAACACCTTCGGGTGTATGGCGCTTGTGAGCGCAATTAGATACACTACATTAAAATAACTTCTATCAAATTTGAGGAGTTGAAAAAATTGAATAGGCTTGGTAATTTCAAATAATGGTGGAGATTTGTTATGTTTAACTTACAAATTGTCAAATTTAATAAGTTAGCAAAGTTGACAAATTAATTGATGACTAACTTATACACATGAAAAATTCATAAGTGGCCAAATTGTACACATGAGTATTTCATTTTTAATCCCTAAAATATTATGACTAAACTTATAAATAATCTAATATTTGAAAGATTAAAGATAAATTTTTCATGCGTACAAATTAATCACCTACAATAGATAAATTTTTCATATATACAAATTAACCACCAACTTGTGAACTTTACTAGTTTATTAAATTTAACAATTTACAAACCAATCATAACATTTTACGTATCAAGCCAGCTTCTTTTATAACTCCTCCTTATCCTCTTCTCTTTATATTCGAAGGATGTGGGATTCGGCAATGTATTCAGCACCCATGTTATTGACTGCTCCTGGGAACTAAAGGGTGAACACCTTTGATTTTAGAGGCAATTCATTGGAGATAATCTTTCTCCTTTTATTCATCCCCCACAAATCTCTGCCTTTCATTTCTGGTTTCTGCATTTTTTTTTCATGGCTATACGATGAAGAAAATAACAGACACACACACAAGAAAGAAATCAATCTCTTTGCTTTTAAGATTCATACTTAACTAACACATGAAATTCGATATTTGATCTTCAAATCAAACTCCTAAGCTTTGATATGATCATTGCAACAATTTGTATGAGGAAATAACCAACTTCTCAACTCAACTTTACATAAAATGCAGGCAGAAGTATACCAGATCATCATTCTGCAGATTTAACACTTAAGAATGTTAAGTCAATCCTGACAGAGTACTTAGAGATGGATGAGAAGCAACAATAGCGACTTTCTCTTCCACCTCAAACGTCCTGTTGTTTAGTTTTCGAAGAATCTATGAGACTTGGTTTTAATCTATGTTATTTTCAATATTCCATTTCTTGTTTGCTCATCTTTCTTCAATTATCAGTTCCTTCTTTTACTTTACTAACGTCTGATATATTTGCCAAGGGCCAAGAGTTTGGGCGTAGAAAGATCGGTGCAGCCAAGAACGAGTTGCCGGCAAGTTACCTTGGGCTACACTCCATTTCCTGAGATCTTTCGATGATTACGTTTCATATGGATCAGTGTTATAAAAAAATAGAATAATCTAATTACTATTAACGCGGTTGCAATTAATCTCCGGGATAAAAACATTCAATTTTGATTTTTCATATTATCCATATAAAACGATGTGGTGTCACTATTGAGTGAATGAGATGGTTGATCCAGTGGTGTCAAAACAAAAAAACCAACTCAATTGGCAGTAACCAAAATTTCTTGTCTGGTAATATAGACACGTTTCGAGCATCCCGCATCTCAAGGAGTAAATTATTTGACAAATTTTCTTCAATAGACACGCGGAAACATTAGAGAGATGGGTTTGAATTTGAAAACAATATAATTTTAAGCTTGTGAATCATAGAACAACACTTGGGAGGAAATAATGGGAGCTTTGAAATTTTGAAATATTTGAGTGGATCCAGTTGTTCGAATACCCCACATTTTTCACTAATCATTCAAAGTTTTTTTTTTTAAAAAAAAAGCAAAGGTGGCCAAGTTGATGAATTTAAATACTCAAGCAACCTTATCCAACATTTCCTTTTAAAATTATCTATTTCTTTCTTTGCCATCTTTGTCTTTTTTTGTGATTAAACATGCAGGGCAATACGTTCTGTTAGGTATGGCTCATAAATATACCAGTAAAGAGGACAGGAGATGGAGCGAAGCGAACATCAACTGTCCTTACAAAGAAAGTCTCGTTGTGGGGTTACGAATTATGTGGGTTGGGGGTGCGGGGGCGCAGCCCCTGCGGTACGGTACAGGGTTAATTTTGTAATTATGTACCAGGGTTTTCTATTATAAATAGAGATGTAACCTAGACCTAAAATATCATCATTGAATAAAAC